AAAATTAAGATATTAACCTGTCATAGCATAAGACTGGCTTATTTCTATCATAAAAATCCCCCAAACTATGCAAGATTAAACTTCAACATTTTCAATTAAGCCTAAAAGATTTCTAAGGAAAAGTGTTAATTAAGCCGGTCTTATTTTACCTACAATGATGCAGTTTAATTTTAGATAGGATCATTAACACAATGGTTGTCTGTGGTTTATGTTTTGGAATTTTGATATTTGCCTTGAGGCAGAATTATTGGTGAAAATATGAAAATAAATTATGAGTTATCCAGTAGTAGGCACAATATTTTGATCTACTATTAGTATTGGAAATTAAACTTGAATCAAGCATCTATACCATCTTTGTGCTGTCCAATAAGTAAAAACATTCATTGTCCTTAAACTCCTCTCCGACCGTATTAGATGGGAAAATGAAAAGTATAGTTAACAAACAAGAATGGCCAAAGGTTCTGGAATTTTGATATGTATGCTGAAACAAGAATTTTTTATTGGTGAAATTATAATTGTGATATTCCAGTTACTAGTGAAATATTGTCAAGTATTTCAGTGTTGGAAGTTGATACATGAATCATAGCTTGTATTACATGTATATATAAGAATTTTACATATGGTGTTTGAATTCAGTAGTTGAAGTGTTTTTGGACTCAAAAAAATGATATCAAGTGACACATTTGCCCATCTGGAGCTTACTAAGCTCTTTGATTTAGAAATGTTCTTTGAGTGGATCTGGATTAAATCTGTCCACAATCATTATTACTTAGAATGTGAAACATGGCTTTCATTGCTGCTAAAGGTTTTAAAGATAAATATTTTTACCATGTGCATAAACAGGCTTCTTGGAGCCTCTTGTTATCTAATTCGTTGTTTTTGATCATAGATAAAAAGAAGCTTGATTACAGTTAGCAAAAAGTCGGTCTGATATCCTGGTATAATTGAAAAAAGGAAATATAAATCTATAAACCTGTCTTGACTACTGTATATGACCAATATTTTATAAAAAGATATTATTTTCAGAATATTGTAAAACCTGTATTGCACAAACATAATATCCTACAGTCATTTGAGTTATAGCAGGCTTTTCTGTACTGTATAAAGAGGAAACAATACAGTACAGTTAGTTGGGTTAATTTGCAGACTTCTCTGTACTGTATAGTGAGGAAACAACACCGTACAGTTAGTTGAGTTATGGCAGGCTTGATCTCTGTACTGTATAAAGAGGAAACAATACCATACAGTTAGTTGAGTTAATGCAGGGACCTCTGTACTGTATAAAGAGAAAACAATAGCGTACAGTTAGTTGAGTTATGGCAGGCTTCTCTGTACTGTATAAAGAGGAAATAATACCGTACAGTTAGTTGAGTTATGGCAGGCTTGATCTCTGTACTGTATAAAGTGGAAACAATTACCGTACAATTAGTTGAGTTATGGAAGGGTTCTCTGTACTGTATAAAGAGGAAACAATACAGAACAGTTAGTTGAGTTATTGCAGGGTGATTGGGCGTCTATATTGTATGTAGAATGACTGTGTTGAATTATATCATAGTTCCTTATGCTTGAGTCTTTTTCTGAGCTGGAGAAATCAAAACCAAAAATAAAATTGTTTTTGATTGACAGAACTGAATATGCTTTAGTGCTTGATTTGGAGATATAGTGTAGGTGTGTTTGTCCTCCTTATGTCAAGGAAGTGATTTACAAGGAGCTTCTTCATACATCTGTTCTGTCTGGTAAATTGACTAACAAGCAATTTGTAGATGTATGGCTTGATACAGCCACAGTTTGTTATATAAAGTACAAAAATATCCTATTATTCAATAAATTGTCATTTTGAACAGAATTACTAAAATAACATTTACATAGCCTATTTATATCACCTTCTTTATGTATTGAGTAATATATGTGATTTTTACCAGAAAAATACACAAATGACTTTCAGCTTGGATGAAGAATGTAAATAGATTAAGAATAGCCATTTACATGAAGAAATTTCATGTCTGTGTTTCTGAAACATGTTGTATATATTAATCCATTGGGTATAGTCTATGGTCATATAGACAAACTTGATTACCAAGTTTATATATTTTTAAGTTGACTATATAAGCTCTAACCCTTATTGTTCCTGATGGACTTCCAACCATTATTCTATATGACAAGTCACAGACTATGTTTCACTCAACAGTACAGTAAAACTTGATCTGTATTGTGTATTAATGAACTTAATAGAGGGATAACTTTTAAAAAGAAATAAAAAATCATAAGTGTTTTGTTTCTGAAGCGCTTTTCTGTATTCACCTTCATCAAGAACACTCAAATCCAAATATTTGAAACCAAAGGATGTATTATAGATATGTTTGATTTATCATTAACTAGATTAACTGAGTAATGGTATAAAAACCCTTTCTAGACACCAGGGGTCACTGGCTTAATTGGTGAGAAAAGGTGTTTCTTTTCCAGCTAGTACTGGCTCTACCCAGTAAATATAAACACCAGGGGTCACTCAGGCTTACCTGGTGAGACAATGGTGTTTTCTTTTCCAGCTAGAACTGGCTCTACCCTGTAAGTACAAACACCTAGGGTTGCTCTGGCTTACATGGTGAGGCAAAGGTGTTTTCTTTTCCAGCTAGAACTGGCTCTACCCAGTAAGTACAAACGCCAGGGATCACTCTGGCTTACCTGGTGAGGCAAAGGTGTTTTCTTTTCCAGCAGAAATATATATATAACTAATATAAAACCATGGGGTTGTTAAAAGATTACACCATTCCAGGCCCTTTTGTTTTCTACATAATTAATATTACCAATATTTAACAAGTTCAGGGATGAATCCATTGATGTGGATGTAAGTTTCAACTGAAACTGTTTACTGTTATATAGACATTTTGAAAGCCAATTAAAATGTATAAATATTTGAATACGTATTCAGTTATACCATGGTACATTTCAATCCCATGACGAAAAAGACTCTGAATATTTTTTTAATTAAAAACATAAATGCCTCAAGATAGGTTATACTAGAATAGAATATGAATATTTTCTGAAAAATGTAGATTAGTAGCCTGATCATATAACTTGAAATTAAATTTGATATCATAAATATACTATGTCACAGTGTTATACACTCACCAATCAATTAACCTGTTTTTGTAGATAAATACAAATGTACTCAAAATTTTCCAAAATCCTACAAAATAGCAATTTATGGCCATCTCCAAGCATCTATAATTTGGTTAGATGTTAAATGTGATGTTATGTTGTAACAACATGAGTATAAAATAATTTTTACAGTAAATTTTACTAAAAAATGAAGGACACTTTAGCCCTTGTGAAATACATTAATATACCCAGCATTTTGATGAACTTTTATCTCAGTTCATTATTGATTAACAATTATATTATAATACAGATTTAGTTTGTGTTACGTAACCATTTTGATTAGATTCAAATTATTGGATGAAGTGGTCTTTTTTAGTATTAGTTGCTATAAATCCTATTGGATTAAGACTCACACTGCTACTTAAATTTCAAAATCATTAGTTTCCAACTTGAATATTCTCATTTTCATTACAGAGTAAAACAATTATTTCACTCCCTACTTTTAATGATCCCTCCATATGAAGAGAGGGTTAATATATAGTGATGTATAGGTCATTCTGTTCCTCCCTCACAAGTTTAGCTTCGGGATGATACATTAACACATTAGCAAATCTTTTAAAATTTTAACACTATGTCATGGGTCATAATATATATTGATGTATTGATTGTTTTGACATGTACCATTCAAGAGTTATGCCCCTTATTTACTTTAACAAGTTGGGTTTTCTGGGGTTACTCAATGAGAATGATAATACCACTAAACCAAATCTTTTGAAACTTCATTAAAATGTTATTGACCATGAACAAGATCAATTTCGATTAGTATGATTTTAACATTTACTATTCAATAGTTAATAGCTCTTATTTCCTTTAAAAATTGGTATTTTTTTGTTTCTGGATGATAATCAGAATACCACAATGTCCGAGGATCCAAGCTTTTTACCAACTTGTCAACATGGCTAACAATAGAAAATTGGGGTAGACTACACGTTTGTCTATTTTAATAAAATTATTAGATATTAAGAGAAAACTTATAAAACAAAAAGGATTAGCAAGACAAGCTTTACAAATAAATTAATTTGGCTAAAATTGTCAGTCAACACCAAATATTGAGTTATTGCTTTAAAATGACCACAATGATGCTCAGCCTATAATAGTAGAGGGAATTATACTTCTGGTCTGTCTGTTTATTTGTCCATCAGTCCCTTTGTTTGTACTTTATCAGTTTAAAGTTTTTTGGTTACGGTAGTTTACAATGAAGGTGTGGTCATGATTAACCTTGAACCCAGTATGCATGTTCATTATAATTTGGTCTCTAAACATTTTATGCTGTATTAAGGTTTTGATTGTGATTTCAATTGTGGTTTCACTAAACACAGAAATGTGATAGTGTGGAATAAGCATATTATCGGTTTATGTAGTTTACCATGATGTTGTGGTCACATCAACTTGATTCTTACTACACATGTTTATTGAGAGGTGAAATCTACAGATTGTTTGCCAAATTATATATTTCTTTCATTTTAAAGTTTACTGGGTTGTGTGAAGTTTGCAAAACTTTATTTTTTGTTAGACCATGGACTTACAGGGTGTGACTTTTGCTGGCCCTTCAAATAAATTTAGTGGTCCCTCCATTTTAATTGAAAAATTTGCTTTTTTCTTCTTTGCAGCTTCACTGTATTGCACTTGCGATATAAAATATTTTACCCATTTTTATATTTTTGGCTATAATCATAAAAACTATAAAAATTAGAGATACATTTTTAACAGCAGACATGATTAGTTAGACAAGATCTACAAATAGGTCAGCATGAGTCAGTTGACTCCTTATAAAAGTTATTTCCCTTGTACAACCATTATTTCAAAAATGTTAAATATGTGTGTATATTATAATTTTTCAGTGTACAGTTTTGGATCCTGTAATAATCATGGGCCTAATGGACCAACCCAGTTCAAATGTGATTCAGCCTACAAATCAAGTTCACTCAAAGTAAAGGTCATTTCTAGTGGTACTTTCAAAGGAACTCAAGTGTGGACTGTACCTGAAAATGGAACATATAGGTAAGTTACCTACAGTCAAATCATACAACATAATGGAACTTATGGGTAAGTTACCTGCAGTTAAAACATACGGGTAAGTTACCTACAGTCAAAACTTATGGGTAGGTTATCAAGTCAAAACATATGGGTAAGTTACCTACAGACAAATCATACAACATAATAGAACATATGGGTAAGTTACCTACAGTCAAATCATACAACATAATAGAACATATGGGTAAGTTGCCTACAGTCAAATCATACAACATAATAGAACATATGGGTAAGTTACCTACAGTCAAATCATACAACATAATAGAACATATGGGTAAGTTACCTACAGTCAAATCATACAACATAATAGATCTGAACTTATGGGTAAGTTATCTACAGTCAAATCAAACAAAATAATCAGCCATTTTATGGATCAATATTAATATTTCATGAATGAATATATTTCATGAAAATAGTTTAACTAAACAACATAATTGCAACTCATGGAGCTAAGTCTAGTCTAATATATATGTGTTCATCTGTAAATCCGAAAGGGGAACTATTAGTCATAGGTTGATATTTGGTATGCAGATGTATTAGCACTGGTACATCTCATTTCCATTAAGATTATATGGCCCCACCCCCTCATCATGGTTCATTAACTTAGAAACTTTTACATAGTTTAAAAGTTAAAAGTTTGTGTTTAGGGTAGTTTAAAGGGAACCACTTATGATAAGTAAATGGTATTTGGTATGCTTTTGTATAAGCATTGGCATTTCACATTTCCATGGAGGTTATTTGGCCCTGCACCTTCAGTCATGGTTCATTGAATTCAAATGAATTGCATAATTTACATGTTTAAATATTGCCATTTTAATTTCAACATTTGCATTATACCATCAAAATTACAAAACATGAGACATATCTCTGTGTCAGCAGTTTATTTATTATCAAAACTAATTGTTCAAAAAGTCACTTATGGTAGCAGAAGATATCTAATTTTTACAAAATACATAGGTTAAGGTGGCTTTTATGAAATGTGCAAATTTTGAGAGTAGTATGTAAGTTTTATGTGTAAGACTTTTATCTTAGTATAGAAAATTATGTGTTTTATCATATTTACAGCTGAATTTTCTAAAAAAAACACAATATTTTTGTTTGATTCATTTTTTTTCAACTTTGCCACATAAGGGGAGATAACTCAGATAGTAAGGGAGATAACTCAGATAGTAGGGGAGATAACTCAGATTAAGTAGTTTTTGTCGAGCCTGCGACTTTTGTCGCAGAAAGCTCGACATAGGGATAGTGATCCGGCGGCGGCGTTAGCTAACTTCTTAAAAGCTTTATATTTTAGAAGGTAGAAGACCTAGATGCTTCATACTTTGTATATGGATGCCTCATGTTACGAAGTTTCCGTCAGTCACATGTCCAATGTCCTTGACCTCATTTTCATGGTTCAGTGACTACTTGAAAAAAAAGTAAACATTTTTTGTAATGTTAAATTCTCTCTTATTATAAGTAGTAGGATAACTATATTTGGTATGTGCGTACCTTGCAAGGTCCTCATGCCCGTCAGACAGTTTTCACTTGACCTCGACCTCATTTCATGGATCAGTGAACAAGGTTAAGTTTTGGTGGTCAAGTCCATATCTCAGATACTATAAGCAATAGGTCTAGTATATTCAGTGTATGGAAGGACTGTAAGGTGTACATGTCCAACTGGCAGGTGTCATCTGACCTTGACCTCATTTTCATGGTTCAGTGGTTATAGTTAAGTTTTTGTGTTTTGGTCTGTTTTTCTTATACTGTATGCAATAGGTCTACTATATTTGGTGTATGGAATGATTGTAAGGTGTACATGTCTAGCTGGCAGGTGTCATCTGACCTTGACCTCATTTTCATGGTTCAGTGGTCAAAGTTAAGTTTTTGAGTTTTGGTCTTTTTTTCTAATACTATATGCAATAGGTCAACTATATTTGGTGTATGGAAATATTTTATGATCTATATGTCAGTCGCGCAGGTTTTATATGACCTTGACCTCATTTTCACGGTTCATTGCTCAGTGTTAAGTTTTTGTGTTTTGGTCTGTTTTTCTTAAACTATAAGCAATAGGTCAACTATATTTGTTATATGGAAGAATTGTTAACTGTACATGTCTGCCTGGCATGGTTCATCTGACCTTGATCTCATTTTCATGGTTCATTGGTCAATGTTTAGTTTTCTTGGTTAATGTTAAGTTTATGTGACAGTTGTAATAAAGCTTTATATTTAGGACTATCAACATAATATCAATGATTAGTAAAGAAGTCGAGACATTTCAGCGTGTGCACTCTTGTTATAATAGAAAGTGTTGTGAATTTACCTATTCTAATATGTAGCAACAAAACAAGTCCGGTGACCCCATTTTTTCTTTTTCTTATCCGAAAGGATGTTATAAGAGCTATCTTCTCACATTTTATCTTAAAATTCTATGGTGTAGTTTTCTTTTTATCACACAAAATGGATTTTCCATGCATAATCTATACAAAATCTGACAATTTTGCACAACCTGTAGCGTGAAAAAAAGGCTGGTGACCCACACTTTTTATTATATTTTTGAAAAAAGCATGATAAAAACTGCGTTTTGACAAATTATTAAAAAATTCTATGGATTTTAATTAAGAGCCCCATCCACCTTAATTAATGTACTTTTTTCATAAAATAAGGGAGAGATTAGTCACTTCAGGTTACATCGAAGTGACTTCTGGTATCAAGTAATAACTTACATTACACTGATTCCTAAACTATATGGTATATTTGTACTAATAATGGATATTATTTGCTACATTTGGTTTACACAGTCAAAATGTCACTTCTGATGCCATATGATGAGTTTAAATGTAAATTTCCATTCTTACTGGGATTACTCAAAGTCTTCTTTGATTAGACAAGGTCATATGTCTTCAAACAAATGCAAAAGACTCCATGGCTTTATCATGAATCAGTATAAAGCTATAACCTTTAATTCATAAAACTTTTCAGGGGCAATAGATCTTATAAGTATCCTCATATTTGTTCAAGTTCAGATCTAAAACTAAACTAACATATAAATCATAAAAGTACTGTACTTGAGATTCTACTTTCTGATACCGATTTGTACTTTATATGGTTGCTGCCCTTGTCAATTAAACTTGTCTCCTGCACACACCAGCTGTAATTACTGATGTACTCTTTATTCTAGCTGATGTTAGACATAAGTCTTATCAACATAGATATATTTATAAAATTTAGTTGAATGGATGTAGATAAGAAATTTATTCTTGGTTTGAGAGTTGAAATGCTATAAACCAGGATATATTTTCGTAGTTGGATTTGAAGTGTTATTTACATTTCGTAGTGAACCAGATAGCAATTTAATGCAGAAGATGACCATTTTATCAAATGAGGGATGGTACAATTATGTACCAGGGTCAGACTAATTGGTTTTGAAAGTAAAATACAGACATGTCTGTATTTTTTTTCATATTCTACATAGGGTTGTCAGCAGAACCTGGTTTCCCTGAAAATAAAAACAACATTAAGTATCCTACTGAGAATAGTAAATCAAATTAATAGTTTTGCTGTGGTGTCAAAATGGCTCTAAATGAAAACATTAACATTAAACATACTAAAAGATCAAACAGAAAACAAAGAGTTTGTACTTTTCAATTGCTATCCTTTATAAACAGCAAGCAGTATAGGATTTTTTATAGCTGGGAATTATATCAATCAATGGAAGCTCAAACTACAATACAAGTCTTAAAGCAAACTAAAATTACCACCAAGAAGTCATCATTTTTACAGGCTTTCTATATTTCAAGGGTCATAACCTCTTAACTGTTTTAGCTGAAAAGCACATATATTTGGTGTATGGACCACCATTTATAAGCTGATTTGAAATAATGCTGAACTCGCTTATCATGATGAATACCATCTGGGCATTTTGCTGTCCAGATTTTTCAATTTTATCAATATATAACATATATAGTGGTATATTAACACATGGAAAGAGATCAATAGAATACAGAGGTGCATTTGTCCCTACAAGTTTCTACAAGAACTCAGTGCTGAAAAACCTACTGCACAGAGAATATTCATATCTAGCTAGGTGCAGGTTAGCTGACTTCATGATTTTAGAAGACTAAAAAATAACTGATAAATAATTTGAAGCTTTATCAAAAGTTCAATACTTTATCACTAAGTAATTCCACTTGTTACAGTACTGTGTAATACAACTTGTTGCTAGCCAAAATGATTGTATTGTCTATGTAATTTCACTTGTTACAGGACTGTGTAATACAACTTGTTGCTAGCCAAAATGATTGTATTGTCTATGTAATTATACCCCACGCAACGAGTTGCTGAGGGTATAATGTTTTTGACCCGTCCGTCTGTCCGTCCGTCTGTCCGTCTGTCAGTCCGTCAGTACTGTTTCTTGTCATAGCAACTCCTCTCAAACCACACAACAGAATTTCATGAAACCTTTTTAGATAATAAGGACATACTATGTAGTTGTGCATATCGACAGGAAATTACGATTTAATTTTTAGGAGTTAAGCCCCTTTGAACTTATTTACTTTAATGTACTACTGCAACAGTTTGTCATCTCAACTCCTCTGAAAGCACACAACAAAATTTCATGAAACTTTGTAGATAATAAGGACATACTATGTAGATGTGCATATCGACAGGAAATTACGATTCAATTTTTTTTCCAGGAGTTACGCCCCTTTGAACTTATTTGCCCAATATACTACTGCAACCTTTTGTCATCGCAACTCCTCTCAAACCACACAACAGAATTTCATGAAACCTTTTCAGATAATAAGGACATACTTCGTAGATGTGCATATCGACAGGAAATTACGATTCAATTTTTTTTCTAGGAGTTACGCCCCTTTGAACTTATTTGCCCAATATACTACTGCAACCTTTTGTCATCGCAACTCCTCTCAAACCACACAACAGAATTTCATGAAACCTTTTCAGATAATAAGGACATACTACGTAGAT